TTAATCTGCTCATGTATGAGTTTAACCTGCTGCAGTAGCCAGAGCAAAGTTGGGCTATTGTGGTTCTTGTCTCACGAGGCATATGAAGCTCCGTCTCGTCAATATCCGGTGGTTGTGTGCCTAGAACGGCATTCACAGGTCTGGAGTCTACATAACTCGAGACTGACTCCCTGTGAATGCCGTTCAGGGCCTGTCGATATGCTGACGGGTCCAGACGCTGCTTAATGAACCTCTGGACTTCGAATGCTCTTCTGCAAGCGGCTGTTTGCTGGGATAACCGCGTCTGTGGCTCCCAACCAGGAACTGCTTGCAGAGCATTGTGTTATGCTGCTTAACTGGGAGCATTTTCGCCTCGTCGTGTAGGTGGTGTTCTGGCGACTTCAGAAGACATCCAGTCGCTGTCCTATGTGCGGTATTCTGTGTTGTCTGTAGCTTCATCCACTGCGTCCTACTAGTCCCCGGCGACCACACTGGTGCTGCGTAAGTTACAACCGGCCGGCCTATTGCCTTGTATCTTGCCAGCAACGTTTCTTTGTCTTTGCCCCAAGTACTGCCGGCTAGCGATTTGAGGACCTTGTTGCGGCTATGTACTTTGTTGACAATGGCGGTTGTGTGCGCAGAGAAGGAGAACAGACTGTCGAATGTTACTCCGAGTATTTTGGGATTATTCACCGTCGGAATTGGTGTCTCATCGACGTGAATTCCCAGCGGTAGTTTGACCTCCTTCGTCCAGGTGGAGAGCAGGGTCGCAGAGGATTTCTTAGGGGAGAGGGCTAGGCACTTTGCAGTGAAGAAGCGAGAAAGCTCGGAGGGATACCCGTTTACTTTCGAACACAGGTCACCAATTCCATTCCCAGTCGCCATGATCGAGCAATCGTCGGCATAAGCGACAATCGCGACTCCCTCTGGTGGTTGAGGGAGCTTTGAAATATAAAAGTTAAGCAGTAGCGGGGAAAGGACACCATCCTGTGGAACGCCCTGGTTTATTTTCCTGAGTTTGCTCGATTTGTCTCTGAACATTACCGACGAGTGTCGACCACTCAGATAATTTGCCGACCACCGTTTGAGCCTCTGTGGGAGTGAGGAAGCCTCAATATCTTCTAGTAGCGTGGAATGGCTGATGGTGTGAAAGGCCTTTGACAGGTCCAACGCTACTAGAATTGTTCTCTCACAGGGACGGTTACGGTTAAGGCCACGAGTTATCTGAGTGTTTATGGCGTTAAGTGCTTTTGTTGTACTGTGCACTTTACGGAAACCATTCTGATGCTTCGCTGGGGTCAGGTGGTTCGTGAAATACGGGAGCAGCAAGGCCTCTAGTGTCTTCGCTACCGGGGAAAGGAGTGTTATCGGTCGATACGAATCTCCTTTGTTTGCTGGTTTCCCCGGTTTGAGCAGTGGGACCACTCTCCCCACCTTCCAGATGTCTGGCATGAGAGTGGCCATCAGCGTTGCCACTAACAATTTTCTCCCCTACCAATTTTCTTCCTAAATCCGACCAAAATCGTTTACAACCTACCGAATAAATTTCAATTACAAAGAAGCATTCTGAAAGCATACAGTTCATTTATTTAAGATTTCATATTTCTAATAAAACTTTAACAAAAGAGGTAAAATTGGTTAATCTTCTTTAGAAACTACCTTAGTGTTATTATTTGTAAAAGTTTTATATCTTCACGCTTAAAATCAAATCTTAAATTTATTTGGTCCAAAAACTCTATGTAAAACTTTAATATTATGGTTATGAATATTTTAATTTTTAAAATAAGTATTAATATTGTTACTGATCGCATCTTTTTTAATAAAGTTACTCAAAATTAAGAGATAATGTGATTTGATAGTTGCATATAAGTATTGCAAATGAGAGCTTTCAGCTGGGAACTCTTTGTTTAGATTGTTAACTATGGGAAAAATTTACGATAGAAATAAAAAATAGCATTTGGTTTAGCACACATTCCTTTGGCTAGGTCTGCCAATTTGTGGTGTGTGTCTTGATGTTGTCACAAAAAGGCGGGGAGAAGCTTTTTCAAGGCAGAAATACACACGAAGGCAGTGTTGAGCGTTAATCAAATAATTTTTTAATCATTTTTTTAATTTATTAAAAAAGTAATTGCAATTATTTATTGCAATGCGCCATTAAAATTTTAATTGCAATTAAACATTTAGTTGGGTATTGCACACAGCAAATAATTTAATTGCAATTACTTTTTTGATAACAATTAGCCTACTTAAACTGGATTTCGACTAGGCATTAAATGGCAAAAATGGCAAATGACAAAATTGGGCATTGAAAAATTATCGTGTTTTTATTTGTAAAAAATAGTCATTAAGTTCTTTTTCACATTGCACTTTTTAAATGCCATGAATTTTTTGCCATTTCAATGCCTAGTGGAAATTCGGCATTATAAATAAAAAAAATTACGGCACAAGCCTGGGTTGTGGGTGGTTGTCATATTCACATCCCTGGCCTATATAGTAGGCATTTACAGTCGTTGATTTTTAATAAAATTTACAAACCAATTAAAAAATTGTTAACTGCTAACTGAAGAATATCACCGTTATTCTCCACAACAATTACAATTAGGTAATTGTTAATTGTTATTCTCTACAATTACAGTTAACCAATTGTTAGTTGTGATAGTAGTAGTGATAGAAATTAACAATTAATTAATTAATTAATTGTTCTTGCAATTCAAATTTGCCCAACACTGCACGCAGGAGCAACGGCTGTTAAGAAAGATCTTGTTTTTAAAACTTGCTTTTGATGTTGCTTGGACCAGGGATCGAACCCAGGTATAACGGCGAGTTAGTACATACCTCAACCCCTCTACTACAGCGGCCGCACAAGCAAATATTAATAACAGCTGAAATAAATAACTTTTTTTTTGTAGATTTTGTGAAAAATGTATGTGCTAAGTTCTGGAAATATTTACCTGGCATTAATTCTTCTATCATACCACAACAAGATAATTGAAAAATTAATTGTTTAAAGCCCAACACTGCCTCCGTGTGTATTTCTGCCTTGGAAAAGCTTCTCACAAAATCCATTTACGGTTCGGAGACGGCGTAAAAATGTAGGTACCCGCCTCTTTGTGACAACATCAAGACACACACCATTAATTGGAGGAGAAGCTTGGCCAAACACTTAGCAAAGGTGTAAGTGCTAAAATATTATTATTATACTATTAATATTTGCAATGACTACGAAAATACTTGGATTCAACATGGCATATAAGTGATATTTATCTCGTGATTTTTTTACTTTATGTTTAATAATATTAATTGATGAGGTCCTCTATTGATATGATTTATAATGTGATCTTAGGTGTATTAAGCATATGCTCAGTGGCTAAGCAACAAAAAAAATTAATGCAAATACTAATTTTTTATAAGGCAAAACTTAGTTTCTAACTAATTAATTAAATGTGTTTAAAACTAATTTATCGGACTTATATAAACTGCGTTCCAATAAGCTGATATTTTAGAACCTACCTACGAAATTTCAGCGAAATCCGACAAGATTTGATGAAAATATACCCATTTGTTAATAAATATGCATCTAAAATCTGTAGTTTCCGGAAAACAAACCACAGCGTTGAGCGACCTCTAAATCTTGTTTAAATAAGCTGAAATTTTAGAAGGAACTTGTTTTCCCTCTTATCTTCAAGAATCCGAACGTTCTCGGTCGAATTTACAAAAAGTTCAAGTTTTGAATCACCCTAATGTGCACTCTATATAAAATAAATCGGTTTCTGCACTCAATAATGTTTTCAGCCCGCCCAAATCTCCAGCCATACGTTGGCTCCATCTGTGGCCATACCAATTAGGTTTCTTATTTTTAAAGGCAGGATTGGAAAATGCTTAAAATGTACAATTGGCAAATATTTATATGCGAAATGATGTTTGATTTTTTTTTTTATAATTAAAAATTTCAAAACTTAATTTAACTATCCGACCAAAATCTTACTTTGCCTACCAACCTACCAAATGAAAAAGAAGCGACCAAATTTGGTCGGAAAAGACCAATAGTGGCAACACTGGTGGCCATAGACAAATTGAGGACATCCGTTAGGTACGCTACTCCCGCAGGACCCAAATTTTTCAGCATCAGAATGCATATTCCGTCGGGACCCATGGCTTTGGAGGCTTTCGCCTTCGCGATGGCCACCTGAACTTCACCGCAAGTGAAAGCAAGGGGGGAGCACAAGTTGTTGGCAGTTTGTGCAGCCTTCTTGTCACTCGACGCTTGGCTTTGTCCACCGGAGGATGCAGTATGAACTGACGGCTAAAATAGCTCGCGCATCGCTCCGGGTCCGATGAAGCATGGTCGACGAAAGAAATATTGATTCTGTCGTCATGCTTCGTCGGATTGTACAGTGACCTCACGGTGGACCAAAGCTTACTCACACCAGAGGTGAAGTTACAGGTCTTCAGGTGCTCTTCCCACTTCTTCCGCTTATGTACGTTCACTAGTTGCCAAATCTCCGCGTTGAGATCCCTGATACGGGGATCTCCGGGATCGGCCTGACGAAGGCTGTCGCGCTCATCGGCTAGTACAGCCGCTTCGGCAAGGAAGTTTGGACGTGGGACCGTTATACATCCTGCCGGTATGAAGCGAGCTGCAGCAGCAGTGACAGCCCTGCGGAACTTACGTTCACCGAGATGGACGTCGGTTGGTGTGGGAAGTGCAGTGGAAGTCCGATGGCTCAGAGCACCGCGTTTGGTTGGGTGTTGTTCGGAAACGCTACTCCTTCACAAAGGAAACCTGCTTCAATCTCAACGCTGCACTGTGACACTCAGCTAACGCAATTTCTCACCAAGTTTTGGGAACTAGAGGAGCTACCGCCGAGAAAGTTTTACACGGCTGAAGAGCTTTATTGTGAAAAGTTATACGACAATACAACACGGCGTGCGGAAGATGGTCGCTTCATAGTACGCTTGCCGCTTAAAAAGGAAGTTCCGATTGGTGAATCTCGAAAGCAGCAGTTCGTGCATTACTAAGGATGGAAAGGAGGTTCGTCGCCAACAAGCGCCTTCATGATGAATACGGCAAGTTTATGCAAGAGCTTGTCGACTTGGGTCATATGGAGCCAGCTGGTCCAGCCACTCAAGCTACCTACTACATGCCGCACCATGCAGTGGTCAAGGATACGAGTGCCACTACTAAGCTTAGAGTTGTGTTTAATGCGTCCATGAAGACATCGTCCGGCCATTCACTGAACGATGCTCTAATGGTTGGCCATCAGCTACAACAAGATCTTTTCTCAATTTTGATTCGCTTTCGCACGCATCGCTACGGCCTTATTGCTGACATCGAGAAAATTTATCGGCAGGTCTACGTTCCTGAGCAGGATATTTACTACCACCTCGCCGTGAAGTCGCTACACCGCGCAGCATTGTATGCAGGCAACGCTTATCAGAAGGCTGCTGAAGTCGTTACATCCGACTTCTACATGGATGATTTGCTTACCGGCTCGGATTCGCTTCATGAATTATCATCGCTTCAAAGGGATGTTTCTCTCGTGCTCTCTCAGAGCGGCTTCGAGCTCCGAAAGTGGGCAACGAATTTTCAACCGTTAAGAGATCAAATACCGCATGTGTCGAAGCAAACATCTCATCTGCTGGCTGACGGAAATGATATCCGCGCTCTGGGCTGTATCTGGCATACAGACAACGACTCTCCCTCGATCGCATTTAATCTGGACGAGCTGCCGAAAAAGCTAACAAAACGCGTATTCCTCTCCGACTCGAGTAAAATATTTGACCCGCTTGGACTAATCGCCCCTTGCACAATCCGCTCCAAAATATGGCTACAGAAGGTTTGGCGATCGAATGTGGACTGGGACGAGTTGGTACCACCTGGCGTAGCTGCCGAATGGTCGACTCACAGACAGGAGCTGGCTGCACTTTCGTCGCTTAAACTAAGTCGCTGGATTTGCACTAGTTCCATTGCAGATGCTGAGTTCCACGTCTTCACAGATGCTTCCGAAACTGCTTATGCAGCCGCTGTTTTCTGTTGAACACTAACTTCCAACGACAATGTGAACGTAGTGTTGATCGCTGCGAAAACAAGGGTCGCTCCTTTGAAAACTGCATCGCTGCCGCGGTTGGAACTATGTGCGGCACATCTGGGTGCGAAGCTAGTTCGGCAGGTGCAATCAAGCTTTGGCGCCAAACTCGAAAGGCTGTATGCGTGGACCCAATGGTAGCGTTAGCGTGGCTGCAAGGAGATCCCAGCCGCTGGTCAGTGTTCGTGGCGAATCGCGTCGCCGACGTACAAGAGGTCTTACCATCAGCACACTGGAGACACGTTGCCTCCGAACACAACCCTGCAGATTGTTCCTCAAGAGGCATCACGCCTTCACAACTCGTCACTCATCCCTTATAGTGGCACGGGCCAGCCTGGTTTCGAGGGCGTGACCGGTTTTGGGTTCAAACTTCAACACAACGCACAACAGAGCTGGAACTGAAGTCCAGCAAAGCCATCTCCCACTTTGCGCAATCCGCCGATGAATGGGATCTACTAACCATATTTCACTCATACAATAAACTCAAACGAATTACCGCCTATTTGATTCGTTTCATCAACAACTCGAGCGTATCCGCCCGTCAGTCAAATGCAGCCGCGCGGCTATTGGAGCCGTTATCCAGAACAGAAATCAACAAAGCTAAGCTCGTACTGGTAAGGTGCTCCCAATGTAACGTTTTCGCACAAGAAATTTCTGATTGCAGGTCGAGGAAACCAATACCCTTGCGCAGCAGCCTCGTTCGTCTTCAACAGTTTCTAGACTCCTAACGTATTCTTCGGGTAGGAGGACGCATTAAGAACGTATCGTGCTCAAACGATATCAAACACCCGATGATATTGCCCAAGAACTCGTCACTTGCAAAGGTTATCGCCGCTGAAATCCACATCATTATGTTGCACGCCGGACCGCAAATGATGCCAGCAGCCATTCAACGCAGATTCCGGGTCCCTGGCATCCGAAATAACGTTCGAGGGATATACCGTCACTGTGTACGATGCAAAGGACTAAATCGCAAACCGTTGCAACAACAAATGTCTGAACTACCGTCGAGTCGTGTTAGGAGTACACGATGTTTTCTTAAAAGTGCAGTCGACTTTGTCGGTCCGTACAATATAAAATTTACGCATGGAAGACGCGCGAAGTCAACGAAAGTGTACGTATGCTCCTTTATATGCATGAGCACAGGTGCAATGCACTTGGAATTGGGCGGAGATCTCTCTTCCGTTAGTTTTATCGCCGCCTTCAAGCGCTTTACCAATCGAAGAGGGCATTGTCAACACGTTTATTCAGACAATGGCACCAATTTTGTCGGAGCCGAAAGGGAGTTGCGTACTGCATTCGAACGATGCATCGGTGACGACAAGCTGACGAGTTACTTTGCTGACGCTCAAACTACTTGGCACTTTAACCCACCAAGCGCTCCACACATGGGCGGTTATTGGGAGGCTGGGATAAAACGCATCAAATACCACCTCAAGCGTGCCTTGGACTCCACTCTTTTGAATTACGAAGAAATCGCTACAATTCTAACGGAGGTTGAGGCCTGTGTGAATTCTAGACCTATTTGCTGGATACCCTCGGACGTTAACGATTTTGAAGTGCTAACACCAGGCCATTTTATAATTGGCGAATCTTTGAAGGGCCTACCGGATCCTGACTTGGAAGTTTTTAAAGGGACGTTCCATCAACGTTGGCAAATTATCACAGCGATAAGGCAACATTTCTGGAAGCGATAGCGAGACGAATACCTCGTGAGCCTTCAGCGACGCACGAAGTGGTTTCGTCCAACGCAGAACTTACAAAGGGACGATGTGGTGATTGTCCATGACAACAACGCACCGCCCACGAAATGGAAGCTCGGCCGTGTTCTTGAAAGTCACCCCGGTGTTGATGATCGCGTTCGGGTCGTCAACTTAAGGACATCCGAAGGAGAGCTGCTGCGACCTATTGCTAAGTTGTCGCTCTTGCCGACGAATACTGATATTTTTTCGATGTAAATGTTCAATGTAAAATCACTATATACATGCTTTTAAAGTAAGTTTTGATCAGTCGTTCAAGGCGGCCGGTATGTTCGCGCCTAATACGCTATTTTCAATTAGACCTTAAGCATATGTCTGGTTTGGCAGCACTGTCAAACTTGACATCCTTTCTACTTTCCTTCTATTAAATGGATTTAAGCAAATTGGACGTGTTTCATTTTTAATCCGAGGTAATCCAATTATAAACCCGCAAACGCTATTTATCCGCAACAACTGCTGTATGCCTCTCAAAAGAAAGAGGTTTACAAAGGCTTACAGCTGAAAATATCTTTGTGGAAGGTTGCCACCTGTTTGAAAACTTTAATTTAATTTAATTGATAGCATAAATTAAATATTGCAATATTGGTATCAAACTAAAGAGGCTAGGAAATCTTAGTGCCGAAAATATTTTTAGGGGATTTGGCAACTGCTTGAAAAATTTTATTCATTTAAATTCGTAAAATAAATGAAATATCACAATACGGATATTAAACCAAAGAGGATTGTGAGTTGACACTTATTTGAAAACTTTAATTCAGTTAAATTTATAAGATAACCTGAATGTTGCCATATGGGTATCAATCGAAAGTATTTGAGAATAATAAAATTGCAACAGGCCGATATCTGTACCAGGGTTGTTGCGAATATTATACCGAAATAAAAGTCATTTCCGGATAATAAACAAACGGCTTATCCAAATTAAACAAGTTTGGTATCAAACGAAAGAGGACTTAAATAGCTTTAAACTGAAATGTCTAGACGAGGAAAGCCACATACTGAAAGATATTTCAATCAAAAATGTTAACTAATTGCCATAGAACAAACCTTGTGTCAGGTATATGCATTTCTTTAGTATTAAATTAAAAAAAAAATATACAAATCGAGGTCGTTTGTTATTTCTGTTTGAAAGCTATTTCAGTCCTCTTTCATATGAAACCAAATTTGTTTAATTTTGACAGGCGGTTTGTTTATTATTCGGAAAGGACTTTTATTTCGGAATAATATTCGCAACAACCCTGATCTGTACATAGAAAGATGTTAAAGAAAAATTAATAGGGGTATATTAGAACAACAGAAGCCAAATCAAAAACTTTTATAATTTTGGTCTGTCTGTCTGTATGTTTGTAAACGCATCACGCAAAAACTAATGTATGGAATTAAATGCAGTTTTCACAGATGTACATATTGCTAGAGCTCTAATTGAAAATATAGAATCCATTTTTTTTTTTTTGTTTTAGTTTATCATCGATCATTATGCCTAGGTATTTGAATGTATTAACTTTTTCGAGTGCCTCATTGTTTATATTTAGAGTTAGCAATGGACTGTTCTCAAAATTTCGCATTGAAATAACCACAAACTTAATTTTATTGACATTCAATTAAGTGGTTTCAAGCATAACCAATAGCACTTCTTTGGAACTTCTATGTGGAGGGTTTTTGGCTAAAAAAAATCAAAACTTTTTGCTGTTGCTGCCACGCTTTACAATTTCATACAGTTCTCTGTACAATGTATTTCACTAAACGACTAAACGGCTCCACCGATTTGGAACATATGTCAGCACATTGAAAATAAATATTCCGACCAAAAATTTACTCGGTATGTAGCTCGGGATATTCCTAAAATTCTTATACAGACTAAAACGTAAAAAACCAATATACCTCTAAACCCAATTACGCTGGGGAACTGAAATTTAGCACTGATGCATATATTGCAAATGCATTGGAAAAGGGGGCATGGCACCTTCCATACAAACTGAACTTCTCATATAGCTTATCTCTGGAACCGCTTACGCTAACGTCCTGAAATTCGACACAGCTACATATGTTATCAATACCGTACCTATGGCGAAATGTGGTAATTATTGGAAAGGCTGGATTGATATACATTCACGTAAACGCGCAAGTAACATTCGATTGGGAACCATTTTCTCTTAGATTTCTAAATCCCATTGAACTATTGTAACTTTGTTTTTAATTTTTAGTTATGTGAAAATTTTTAAGAATTTTTTTTTTAATTTTTCACAAAGAATGGAGCTTTGATCTTTCGAGTTTCGCTATAGCCTGTCCTATCTACATACTTATCTATTTGCATAATATGATAGCCGTTTTTGTTGTTCGGACTAAACTCAAAAACCACTGAATAGAGTTCCGCCGGATTGTCGGAGGTTATTTAAGATACATAGTATATGGTCCTATTACATGCTACTAGAAAACTCGCTAGATGGTGCTGGAGTAGAGTTATTTATAAAAATCGTATTTGTCAACCGATTTCGTTCAATTTTTAAATGTGAGCTATGTACCTGTATGATGGAAAATTCTTTTGATAAAAATTTACCCGATGCGTGCCGCTGTAGTCGAGGTGGAAACTCATTACACGTATTCATGTTATGGTAAGCAATGGTTTTGCAGAAAATGTACCCGATGGATGGCGCTGCACGTTTGAGTTATTCGAATTTAGTTTTGAGATGTCTAAATGAAGGATGAGGTTAAGTTTGTCTGACGCCCTCATGCACGATCATGCGACCACGAATTGTAAAAGTGGCGAATTAACAAGGAAAGATCACAGTAGGTATATCAATTGTTTCATTTGAAAGATATTCAAGAGATCACACGCCTCATTTAGCCAATGTACGGGTAAACTTTTCATCCTGTGGGACAGCGAGGATTCTTGGCCCTCCTATAACAGAAAACGCACTTCTGTGCTATTGAGTTTCCTTATACGAACTTTTATTGGCATAAGCATCGCACCAATGTTGTAGTTGCAAGATTATAGAAAAAGATTACGCATCTTGGCAGAGATCTCACAGGTGGAAATAAGATCAACGGTAAAGCTCATGACACCGACAGCGATTGGTATTCCATATGGTATCACAGCGTTACTATTATTGGCCTAGGTGTGAGGAGGATACTGCGCCTTAGTGGTTTCAACTTAAACCAAAAATTTTGACATTACAGACTATTTTTGCTTTTAAACGCTCTTTTACATTGACCAACGCAAAAGTTGTTTTTATGTGCCGCAAAGTAACCGGGAATTGGCTAGTAGGTGATCAAAATGTCCACGCTTATGGGATGTGTCACGCCTCGTTTTACACACTTGTTATACCCGAGCGCTCTTGTGCACAAGGGTGTTATAACTTTGTTCACATAACGGTTGTTTGTAACAGCCAAAACGAATCGAGATAGACTTAGACAAATGTATACATAAATGATCATGATGAAAAGAGGAATCGATTAAGCCATGTCCGTCTGGCCATCCGTCCGTCCGTGTACACGATAACTCCAGCAAAAATTGAGATATCTCAACGACATTTGATATGCAGCTTGCCATTTACCCAAGTTAGGTTAGTATTGAAAATGGGCGAAATCGGACCATAACCACGCCCACTTCCCATATAACGGTAGTTTTCAGGAATACGAAAACTGCGATATTTTAGTAACTTATTCACTGAAAAATTTATATTTACAATGATTTTAGACGTAAAATAAGAATATTATAAATTTTTGGAAAATAGGCGTAGCCACGCCCACTTATGATTACATGTGTATATCCTGGTAACCGCTGCACCGATTTCTCCCAAGCTTGGCACAGTTGTTGGCCTCGGCAAGACATACCAAACGGCTGAAAGTTTTTAAAATCGGACAATAATTACGCCCACATCACATATAACGGTAATTTAGAGAAATACGGAATCATCGATAAATCAGTAAATACAGAAGCTAATTTATTCAAAATTGATGTTTGCAATTCTTTAGGAGAAAATACGTTTATGATAAAATATTCGAAAATGGGCTTCGCAAGGCCTACTTATGACCAGGTATGTATATCTCAGTAACCGTTCGATCAACATGTTCCAAACTTTGTACGATTATTTCATTTACCACATAAAGGCAAAATATTAAAAACTATTGAAATCGGACTAAAATTACTACCACTTTTCATATAACGGTAAATTTCAGAAATTCTTGAAACTTCGATATTTCGAAATTTTAGGACGCTAATTTACTCAAAATTGATACTAACAACAATCCATTGAAAATAAGTAACATTATTATCGAATTTTGGAAAGAAGGCGCGATACCGCCCACATTTAACGATATAAGTTTATATCATTAAGTATAACTGAACACACTATCGAAAATGTTGGAAATAGGGGTAAAACCACTCTTCTTACCATGTAACGGCAGTTTTCAGGAAGGTGAAAAACTATATTTAATACTTGCGCCTACCGTTATGTCCGCATACCAAATTTCAATTTCATGTGGCTTATGGTTTTGAAAATTGTCACGCCTATGGAATGTGTTACGCCCCCTTTTACAAACCCATTTATATATACCTTACTATAATCACCTACCATAGATACGTCTGCATACCAAATTTCAATTTCATGCAACATATGGTTCTAAGTTATAGCTAATAAAAATTTCCACGAATACGGGATGAGCCCCCATTTACAAACTCAGCACCTACCATATATATGACTACGTACCAAATTTCAAGTTCATGTGACTTATGGTTCCGAAATTATGGCTGATTAAAAAATTCACGCCTTGTCGAATCTCAATTTTTTCACCCTATTATAGGCCCAGGTGTCATGGCAATACTCTGTCAAAATTTCGTTCGATTCTATCCATACGTTAAGGCTGCAACATGGCACATACATACATACATGTATACTTCCACAAATAGTATATAGCAGATGTCGCTCTTGTTTTCTAAT